ATAAGTAGCCAGGGAAGTACTAGACGTCCCTGGCAATTGTCACCTTGTTATCCAGAGTCAGCATGCCGCTAACCTGCCTTGCAAGGCTGTTATAGCAATAATTGACAAAACAGAATTTTACAGAAGCTCTAGCACCGATCGGAAGCTGCAACTTGTGGCTTGAGGACCCTCATATATACTTATAGAACATCTGCCAAAGTAGATCTTTGCTCATATTTGAATTTCCCTCTTCCACCATGCCAAAGATCATGGGGCAAAATCCAGACATGTCTCCTAGGACAAGCCAGTAGAGATGTCTCTGCAAATCCAGACATCGGGAGGAAGCAGACAGTGGGGGAAGTAAATGGTTTAAACAGTAATTTTAGGGCCATTTCCCTCAAGTGTTTACTGGCTTCTTGGGAAGGAGGAAATCTTAAAAAAACAGAAATTAGTTTGTCATTTTGGAGAACAATTGTTTGTGTAATTCTTTGCGATCAGAATCAAATACCTCACCTCTCTTTGGCTAGGGCACACACTGGCTTTATTATTGTAGGGAAGGCTTTGAGAATGTTCCTGTAAAGCTGTTCATGTTCAATCTACAGAAAGCCCAATTATGTCACATTTGGTTCCACAAAGAAAGGGAGAAGGGCAGCATGGTGCTGCTAGGGCGGGGGAGTCCACAGGGAGAGAAAGGGACCCTGGAGAACTGGGAACAGTTTCTAAAATCAAGGCTCACAGCCATTTAACATTTTGCCTGTGCAGAGTACTGTACACAATCTAGATTCTGGACAAGCTCTGCTTTTGGGGTTTCCTTTCTAAAAAGCAGTTTACTAGGCTGCAGTGGTACATTTCAAGATGTGCAGGCGTTATCTGTCAATCTCTCCAGTGCATAGGGACAGGGCTTTTCTGCTTTATGTAGCTATCTACTCCACCTTCATAACTTGCTATAGCCTACAAAATTGAAATTCTGTGTTCAAGAAATCCAAATGCTGCACTCCAAAATGCTGCATTATGCATACTGAACTTATTTGCATTGGAATATAAGAAGAGCCATGCTGGATCAATCCAGTGGTCTAGCTAGTCCAGCATCCTCCCACAGTGGTCAACCAGTTCCTGCAGGGCATAGTGGCCTAGACCTTCCCCTGATGTTCCTTCCTGGCACTGGAATACAGAGGTTAATTGCTTCTGAACGTGGCTAGTAGACCTCCCCTCTATGAATCTATCTAATCCCCTTTTAAAGTGGTCTATGCATGTGGCCATCACTACATCCTCTGACACAAAATTCCACATTTTAATCACTCTCTGTGTAAAAAAGTACTTCCTTCTGTCCATCCTGACCCTACTGCTCATCAGCTTTATTTGACACCCTTGAGTTCTAGTATTTTGGGAGAGGGAGAAAAAATTATCTTTGTCAGCTCTCTCCACCCAATGCATAATTTTATAAACCCCTATCATGTTGTCCCTTAGTCATCTCTTTTCTAAAGTGAAAAGTCCCAGGCTCTTCAGCCTTTCCTCATAGGGATGTTGCCCCAACCCCCTAATCATCTTGGTTGCCCTCCTGTGTACTTTTTCAAGTTCTGTGATGTCCCTTCTGAGATACAGTGACCAGAACTGTAAAAAGTGTTGCAAATGAGGCCACACCATAGATCTATACAGGAGCATCATAATGTCATTTGTTTTATGCTCAATCCCTTTCCTAATAATCTTTAACATATACTTTGCCTTTTTCACTGCTGCAGCACACTGGGTTGACACTTTCATTGAGCTACCCACTATTACCCCAAGATCTTTCCCCTTCTCAGCAAGTTCTGACCCCATTAGTCTATACTTGAAGTTGGGAATTTTTGGCCCAATATTTATACCCCACTTTTCTCTCCAATAGGGACCCAAAATGGCATACGTCATCATTTCCCCCTCCCGTTTTTAATCCTAACAAGAACCCTGTGAAGTAGTTTAACCTGACAGAGAATGACTGGCACAAGGTGAGCTTTCGTGGTACAGGAGGGGTGCAAAGCTGGGTTTCTGAGATCCTGTCTGACATTCTAACCAGTACACCATGTCAGCTCTCCAGGTTAAGCATGGACACACAGAGAGAGTGTGTTTCTGACCTGTGCTATAGCCCAATCAAGATTCTTAAAGAAGAGCATTTACCCTGCTGACCTCAGAAGAGTATGGCACATATGACAGGTTTCCAGTGACTGCTTCAGTGTAGCTTGTGCAATACATAGTTTCTAAGAGACACCATTACGTAAACAGCCACTTGGTGGGTTACCTGAGGCAAGTAAGGATTGTTATTTATTTATTATCAGATTTAAAGGTGACCACACAGAGAAAAGTTTCTATACTGGAAGACAGTTCATTCCCCCCCCCCCCGGGTTTAGGGCTGATGATGTATTACATATTACATAGGCTAATAAATGTTTCATGGGCTAATGAGCTTCTCAACTGATTTGCAAGAACGAGGGTCCTGGGACCTGTGGAATTCACCTCAGTGGCTTACTAGGGGCTCCTCACTGGGAATACTAGTCATGCTAAGCAACTACCTCAGAAACAGGAGATTGCACTTCACTGCTAATTCTCCCACATAATGTGCATCTGAAGGATGAACGCTGGGTGTGTTTCGGGGTGCACACAGTCAATGGGGAGCAATGGGAAGGCTCAAAAAGCCTAGATAGCATACCCTGTGAGCTGCACTCCCCAAAATCCCCTGCCACACACAAGAGGTCCATTGCAGATGCTCTGGACCTCTTCTGCAGACAACTGTTGTGGAAACAATTTCCCAAAGTCATAAAGTTTGAAAGCCATCAACCAGAAAGAAGACATGCCATCTTCTTGGTACTGTACAGCGTGCCATAAGCAAAGGTGGCATGTTCCAGCCCGGTTGCTTATAATCTACATTTTGACAGTGTGGGCAGACAATAAAGAGAAAGGAAGGCAAAAAGAGATGAACCCAAGAGAGGCACAGTGGGGGATGAAGGGATGGAAAACATACCTTGAGAAATGTTCCCTCTAAGCTGTGGAGTCTCATGAGCAAAAATTCCACTTTGTGAGCTACTGGCATTAAAGTTCTGAGCGAGCGATTTGGCTACTGTATAAATGAGTTTGCTCTGGAGCCATCCTTCCGGAGCTAAGAAAAAAATATGTGAGCTGGAGGCTAAAAAACTGTGAGCTCACTCACACTAACTCAGCTTAGAGGGAACACTGACCTTGAGTTCCTAGGAATCAGCCCTATACCTGATTGAAGCAGTAGATCAGAAAGGGGCAAGGGAACACTTTTCCAGCCATGGTTAAAACCCAGGGACAAATCTAGACTGTTTACAATATAAATACTGAAGGGCGTTTCAGGTGTTTTGGGGCTCTTATACACAAAAGCTTACAGGAACACTGAATGGAGGTCATGTACGATGATCTCATACATATCTTTTCCTCCACAGCCTGCCAACATGCAAACAAGTGCATACATAAAGACTGCATGCAATACTGTTCATCTGCTTCTCTCATGTGCTCCTGTAAAGGGAACTGCTCTCCAAGAAATAAGATGTTAACACCGGAAGCTATTCCCTAAGACACAAAGAGTTTCCCTTACTTTTCTGAGTTATTAAACTGACTGTTGATATATTTATGTGGTTCACTGCCTCAGGAATCTGATGGCAGAGTAGTAACCTTATCAATACACAAATAACCCAGACTCGCTCTTTAAGGAGCAATGCTAATGGTGAACTCTACAAAAAAAGGTTTTATCTCGTGATTACACACGTGATCAGAATAGACCACACACTTGGCAATGATCTTTGGTTATTAGCTGGCCCAATAAACATTATCATTTTGCTCTAGGCTCGCTCTGTAAGACCAGCACAGCCATCCTGATAAGGCTCATTAGAGGGAACGGCGGGTCCACTTAAGCACCAAGGCCAGAACTCATTCGGAAAGAAAAACCACATCACAAGCTGCCTTCAGAGACAGTTCAGAAGCTTCAACTGGTACAAAATAGGACAATAAGACTGTTGACCAGTAAAAGTTATAGCAAATGAATGTTGCAGGTTTTGAGAGTTACACAGGCTTCAGGTTCACTTCTGCTAAGACATTATCTGTGAGGGCTTTGGAAGTCCCCTGGTCATCTGAATTGGAAGGCTACAAGCCTTCCCTGTTGTAGTCCGTCATCTCAGGAATG